CATCCGCAAGCGTAAGTGTCCCGCCGTGTCTCTCAGCACTCGAGCCATTTTGAAACAGCTGCCCTTGTAAGAAAATTACCTGCGAAGGTGAACAGGAGAATCTTATTTATGAATGCACATAGGAATGAATCCCGAAACCGTTTTAATTACGCAAATGATTGAGTACGAATGTCATGGTGTGAAATAGATAGTGATTTAGATATATGCTTCATAAAAAGTAGAGTATATAAAATTTACGAATAGTGAAAACATATCCCCATACTAGTACGATAGCCAAAATGCAGAAGCTTTTATTTTCATTGCCAAGGCAGTTATATTCATCTTAGTTGTAAGTGTTTGAAGAATAGATGATTATGTAACCATATAATTTTTTGATGTAGTAATTTTGGCCATCTTCTGACAGTGGTTGCAGACAACGACTGTCTCTCCGACAAATACCATCAAGGAGCCTTCATCAAGAGCCAGTGGTCGTGCTGCAAAGGCGGCAAGAACACCATCGCGTGCACCGACGTCACTTGGACGATCAACCACAACAACAACCCGCCAGGTGGGTGCTGTGGCGCTGCCAGCAGGGCGCCCGCGCGGCCATCGGGAGCCTGGGGCGGTTGTGCCCCGGACGGCAGTTTGCGCCTCGGAAATGGCCACGCTTCTTCTCTCTCTCTCTCTCTCTCTCTCTCTCTCTCTCTCTCTCTCTCTGCTCTCTCTCTCTTCTCTTCTCTCTCTCTCTCTCTCTTCCTTCTCCCTCTCGCTCCTCTCTCTCCCTCTCCTCCCTCTTCTCTCCTCCTCCCTTCCCAATCCCTCTCACTCCTCTCTGTCTCATCTCTTCTCTCTCTCTCTGTTCTCTCTTGTCTCCTCTCCTCTTCTCCCTCTCTCCTCTCTCTCCTCTTCTCTCTCCTCCCCCCTCCTCTCTCATGTCTCCTACCGATCTCCTCTCAACTCGTCTCTCTCTCGTCTGCTCTCTCGTCTCTCTCTCCATCCTTCCTCCTCTCTCTCACTGTCTCTTCTCTCCCTCCCTCCCTCCCATCCACTATTCTATGATTCTCCCTCCCTCTCCTCTCCCTCCTCCTCCCGCTCGTCTCCGCTCCTCTCTCCCATCTCCGAGCTCATCACCTCCTCCCTCTCTCTCCCTAGCTCTTCCTTTTCTTCTTCACTCGCTCTCTCTTCCCTCCTTCCTTCCCTCCTCCTCCTCCCTCCCTCCTCCCTCCTCTTCTCACTTTTCTTCCTCCCTCCTCTCCTTCTCTCCTTCTCTTGGTTGTCTCCCTTCCTTCCCTCTCTTTCTTTCCTCTCTTTCCCTCTTCGCCTCTCTTTTCTCTCTTATCCTCGTTATCTCCCTCAAACGTTGTCCTTCTCTCATCGTTCTCTCCTTTTTTCCTTCATTTCTCTCTTCTTCCTCCTCAAATCTTTATATATTTTATCGTATTTTTGTTGTAGCGATGACTTTTTCGTTTGTATTTTTTATCCATTTACGCATATATATCCACGTGAGATCTCTTCGCCTTGGGTAAGATGTATTGATATAGTAAAGAAGCCATGGTAATATGGGAGAAAGATATTTTCTGTACATTAAGGGAACATAATTGCTTGCTGTCATTTGACTCTGGAAACGCGGTCTTCAGAAGGGCATCGTTGTGAATGCAGCGAATATTGCCAAAACACCGCTTGCAATCCCCTTTTGTCAACGCCTTTATGCTGCCACGCCCCTTAGAGTCACATCATCATCTTTGTCCCTCGTGGGTGCTGCATCGCATGACATGGAAGTTATTAAATGCCATCAAACTTTCTGGATTTTTTTTCGTGGACTTTTTTTGGTTGTTCAGAACAATAAATAACTTTTTCAAAGCGGAACAGTTGGAGGGAGGGGGTGTAGGATTGTTATTATAACGTGCCTCGTGTGTTTACAGAAGTGTAGAAGCAGACGGTCTAATAGTACTTCCGTATGGATAAAGAGACACCCCGGAGTTACTCTATTTACTTTAATTTTCAAATCTTGAATGAAAACGTCGATTTCCTGTGTGAATAACCAATTAAGAATTTCCTCAGGTCGAAAGTAATAATCGCGTGCTCTTTTTTCCTTCCCCTTTGCCTTCCGGTATTGAAGGCGCGTAGGCAATTATCTCGTAGACTTTTTTAAATACCTGCGGCGCATGGCATACATTCTCAAAACTTCAATACTACCTGGAGTTAAAAATGTTCGTTTTTGGATATTGGAGAGTTAAAAATTCCATTCACATATGCCCTCAGAGTGTACTGTTTGTACTTAGGAGTGTTCATTTTTTTTTCGATTTACCGCATCGCTTCCGGCCAGGTCTCCAAGCCGTTGCGAGAAGTAGGGTGTTTACGGCGTGACATCGGGCGAGGATTCGCTTGCGACGGCGCTAGTCCGGCCGCGCCTCGGCCCGCCTTCGGCGCTGCGGCGTGGGGAGGAAACACTTGCGCCGGGGCGCATGCGAATTCGAAGTCCTCGCCTCACGGAAAGAAAATCGAAGCACCGTATGCGGAA